TTCCTCTATATCTTTTTCAGCTCCCAGTTCGCACTCAGGTCATATTTATATATTCTTTTGCATGAACTAGTAGGTCTACCAGCTTCATGGTTGTTTCATGATGAAAAAGTAAGAAATTTTTTGTTCCTTAAGGAATACTGTACTTCTGTGGGTTTCTTGATTTGGCATTATTTTTATATGTGCATTCTTATCATACTCCCAGGTCAGAGTTTTCTATGCAGTGAGGCTATTTTTGGGTCTTATCTCTGTTATTTCAGATGCTTTTCTGGTGGTTGCACTTTCCAGAAAGTATGGAAAGCGTCTTGCTTCTTATGCACTTGCAATGCTCTGCTTAACCAGTGGTTGTTTCTTCGCTAGCACAAGTAAGTGGGTTAGTTAAATCTTCTTTTCTGCTTTTGCAAAGTGCCTTTTACTAGATTAGTCTTTCTTAGAAGAAAAGAAGAAAGGTAATATTAAACGAGAAATAGAATTTGGAGAGGATAAGGTGTCCTACTAAGAGCAAAGAAAACCACAATACAAACAAGAACAGGGACTGGGGATATCTTGTATATTATGCATTCTTTATTAGTTAGTCAAGTCATTTATCTAGAATTTTATTTTATTTTCTCGTGTTAAGTATGATTATTCTTTCTTTATTTTCCTATGTTTATCGTGGTTCCATCTATTCTTCCTCGTGATTTTCTTAATATCTTTGTTTTCAAACTACTCCCAGGTTTTCTGCCTAGTTCATTCTCTATGTATGCAATGAGTCTCTCATCAGGATTATTTCTCCTTGAGAAACCTGCCATGGCTATTTCAGTTGCAGCTGTTGGAGTGATCCTTGGCTGGCCATTCTCCATCTTGGCCTTTTTGCCAATCACCTTCTACTGCTTAGCTAGAAGATTCAAACAAGCATTTCTTGCTGGTGCTATCACATCTGTTTTTCTTATCGTGAGTTAATCCAAATAGTCCCTTCTGACCTCTTTTTCAAGCTCTGATTTATAGTATCAATTGACCCTGGAGATTCTTGTTTTCCTTTTTTTTGTTCGTTTGTGTAAGTTACTGAATTAGAATTCTTTTTCAGGCACTTTCAGTAGTTGTTGATTACTATTACTATGGAAGATGGACTTCATCTATTTTGAATCTCTTGGTTTATAACGTCGTAGGAGGTGGTGAGAGCCATTTGTATGGAACTGAAGGGCTATCATTTTATCTGAGGAATGGATTTAACAACTTTAACTTTTGTTTTGTTCTTGCGCTACTTTTCCTTGCAATCTTGCCCATTGCAAGGAAAAAATATGCCCCGGACTTGCTGATTGTTGTCTCACCTCTTTATATTTGGCTGGCATTTATGTCCTTGCAGCCACATAAGGAAGAAAGGTCTTTTCTTTTGAAACCTATCCTTTATAGTTTTCTTTAAAGTTACTTCTATTATAGTATCCTTGAGGATATCATGCCTTTATTTTACTTAATGTTGGATGTTAGCATGTATGATTAAAGAACTATACCAAACAATAGATACTTAAGTAGCAGCATCACCTTGATGCTCATGAGTACAGTTTCTTTTCTTTTGAGAAAAAACAAGAAGATTTAATTGTTTCCTAAAACCTCTATCATAATTTGGCATTTTCAGGGGAACAAATTACCTAAGTAGTCCTTGGAGTTTGACACTTGTTAAAATTTGATACTT